ACAAAAGTATCTGCAATTTTTAGCGGTGATCCCTCCACTATTGGAACGAAATGAAAGTAGATCAAAGTAACCTGGAACTTAATAATTCTGGGAAAAAATTCCCTTAACGGGGAGGTAATGTTACATCCCGGAATTTAGGTCAAAGACTGTGAACGGTCAAGTTCACAGTAAATCTCTTGGTAATTTGACTCATTGAGTTTTAGTGCATCTTTTGTAAAATAAATGAATCCATTTCAACTATTATAAGATACCAGATGGTATCTTACTTCCAAATATGTAATCTAGCAAACAAATAAAACAGCTCAAACTACAACCCTAAGATTGCGTCTGAAAAACTAAAATTTCGTATTAAGCATTTGTAAGAAAAACAAACATTCTAGTCTCGTAGTACTTGTTTCCCTATTTCCGAAAATATAAAGAACGTCCAAAACGGAGTTCGCATGCAAAAGATACGACCGTTTTAAGAATCCAAAACCAGTATAATACTGATTTTCTTAAAACCGTTTCTATCCGTTGAGGGATTTCCACACCTGAGATGGGAATTCCGAAAGCATTTTTGGACTCAGGTCATAGTCTATTATTTAATTTCATACTTAGAATATTTTAGTAAAAATATTTATAGAAATCGAAAAATTAGATGTTTTAAATCAGTAAATTACGAAACCTTAAATTATGATTTCAATTATTGGCAATATATTCTGGAAATAATATATTATTATCCAATCCAGTTATGGTGAATCTTAACGAAGAGATAACTCATAATTTCTAAAATCATGTACACCTATATATACATATATAGGTGGGGAACGTATTTTTCAAAAACTCACCTCTCAAACTGGATGTTGTACTCGTGCGAGAGGAATCTCTGCTGGCTGCCCCCACGACTCCCAGGCTAGTTCTATACAATATTACTTAGTCAGAAAACTGAAAATCCATCTAAGGGTAAAATGACCATTTTACCCCCGGTCAAAGTCAAAGCTCTGGTCACAGTCAACATTCTGGGTTGACCAACCCGTCGAGTCAACCTTTCAACTCGCCGAGTTCTATAACTCATAAATCCTGGAATCGCGACTCAACTCGCCGAGTCGCTCCACCGACTCGTCGAGTCCTATCGAGCTGCTCAGTCACGATTTGGCAAATCCACTCGTCGAGTCCCTCTACAGACTCGTCGAGTTCTACTATAAACTGAAAAAGGGACAACACGAATCGACTCATCGAGTTCCCTCATGGACTCGACGAGTCCTTCTGTCTGATTGGCCATCTTAACAAATTAAGCCCTTGTTTTCTAGATCTATAGTCCATACTTCACTTGTTCACTGGGAATGACCTTTCTAAGGGTAAAGTTTCCAACTTTACCAGTTGATAACTCTTTTTTGAAGGGTTTAGCTAAAACCCTAATTCCTCTAAGACATAGATCTTGTCCAAACAGCCTTAGTATTCCAAACCAAAGCATGAAAGCCTAGATCTAGGGTCTAGAAACCAGTTAACCACGTAAAGTCTCGAGCTTGCTTCCATGCATGGCCCCTTTGGGGCTTAAAAGGCTATAACAATATCCATAAGGTTTGCATGAGACTCAAATGCCATAAAGTTTACACCTTTATGCCTTTACAGCACTTAATAACTCTAGATCTGAAAGAATAATGCAACACCGTAAATTTCCAAACAAATTTTTTTCATTTTAAATTCATATAAATCTCATAACGCTTTTCACAAAATCTCATTTATTTAGTTTACAAAACGCATCTCCATAATTGTTTGTTTAATACTCCAGGATCCTCAAATCATAACTCTTTCTCTAGTGTGTACAATCGAGTCGGTGCCTTCCCGCGATCCTGAGAAAAACCTGAAACACATAACACATAACACGGTAAGCACGAAGCTTAGTGAGTTCCCCAAAATACCACACACATCTCAGTAGCCTCTCATGGCTATACTCAGATAAGACCCTCCGGTCAATGTGTCTCAGTGGGACCCTCCGGTCCCAGAAATCAGGTGGACCCTCCGGTCCTAACTCAATAAGCTCATAATAACAATACTCAGCATAAATCACAGAGACATAATGCAGAATATCACAATACACAAATAAGCACATAAGACATCTCAGTCACACAAGGATACCACTCATGGTAAGTATAGTGAGAAGACTCACCTCGAATGATGAACACCCCTAAAAACGTTGTTGCCATGCACCGGCCTCTAACTCTGATCCAAATCCACAATTAACCTAATTAGGAACTAAGTCCAGACTCTCACTCATTAGGTCTACAGGAGGTCCACTAACCAGACCAGCAACAACCTAAAACCCATTGGGCCCACCAAAGCCCAATAATAAATGGGCTCTCCCGAGGCCTAACTCTCAAGTCTAAAAGGAAAGCCCAACTCAAGGGCCCAAAGCACCTATACATAATCCTCTGGTCCGAAACTCTATTTCAACAAGCCCAAACTCCAGGCTCAACACTCAAGGCCCAAAATGAGACTTAGCCCATAAGGCCACAGTGAGGTTACGTGGGGCGTACCTCTCTTGGTACGCTCAGCGTACTCACGAATCCAGATTGGCCATCGGGGACACTGGGGCAATACGCGGGGCGTACAGGAATTACGCTCAGCGTACTTCCCAGATTTACTCTTTCTACTCATTTGGTCTTAATCAGATAAGACATCAACTCAAATCCCAGATCTGGACTCCCTAATGGCTCTTACTCCATAAAGTCAGTGACTTTAAGCCTTTGCATGGCTGAGGAGGTCACAACACCCAAATCACTCACTCTTTTATCTCAAAAAGCTCATAACTCATGCATGGTTTGATTCCAACTTCCAAGACCTCATTTTTATGGATCCTCTCCACTAGAAACGCTTTAAAGGACAAACATTAGGCTCTGGAGTGCAACAACTCATAAAGCTTCAAGCTTTGGGACCAAAAACCCTAAAATGGACCATAACATGCACAAATCAAAAGGATGGGAAAGCTTTGAGCTTTATACCTTCAAATGATGCTCCATCCACAGAAAAGCTCAGATCCAAAGCCTGGACTCCAACTCTATTCTCTTCCATGCTCCTTCTCCACTCCAAAAATCTCACGAGAACACTTAAGACACTCAAAGGCTCTCAAATGCATCCACAAACTCCATGAACGAAGGTTTAGGGTTTAGGAGGGTTTGAAATCTGAGGGTGGTGGCCATGAATGAGGCCATCTCATTCTTTATATAGGTACACACCCAAAATTAGGGTTTTCACTATGTGCTTAGTACGCCCAGCGTACTAGGTGGCTCCGCTTAAAAGCCACGCACATGAGTACGCTAAGCGTACACACACGTACGCCCAGCGTACTCAGCTGCCACCTTTCTCAAATTAAGGGACTTATCCTGCCAACACTTCAAACTTCCAATGCTTCCTCGATATGACTCCGTTTCCAAAGAACCTCATACCCACGGAAGGTGACGAGATGCCTTACGCTTCTAGTAACTCGTCGCAACCCCGAGACTTCCTCATGTCCGGGTTGCAGCCTACGAACCCTAACCACTGACGACCAGAAACAGGATGTTACAAATAATCAGCTTGGGACATCCATCCCTCATCAATCATGCTACTTGGACAAAACCCCATAAAAGAGACCACAAAGAGATCTAATGAACTATAAGGCAAGTTTAGAGCTTGATTACCAGAAAGTGATGAGAATGGAATGAAATCCCTGGATCTATAACCTTCTCCTTGAACCTTCGAACTCCTTCTTCTTCTTCTAAGCTTCAAGAACACACAAACCACTCAAAATGGCAAGAAATAGCTCAAGATCACTCAAGGTTGATTAGGGTTTCGAGATTAGGGTTTGGAGGTGATGGAGGCTGGGATGGAGGCCAGATATGATGCTTAAATAGGGTGCAAACCCCAAGGATTAGGTTTCATCCAGCCTGACGTACTCGTCGAGTCAGGACTTCGACTCGTCGAGTAGCTCACTTAAAACCCGCGCCTTTTTCTGCCTTCTACTCGACGAGTTAGGGCCACCAACTCGTCGAGTAGCCCTTCCAAAACGAGTTAGGGCCACCAACTTATGAATGATTTATTTAGGTTTTTCTCACGACATCTTATGTAGGACAATCATTAATGAGGTGTTTGAGGTTTTTGATGCTTATGTCCATCACAATCTCGACTACTTGGTTGCTTAGGTCACGTGTTCTGAACGGCATAACTTCTTCATACGATCTCGGATTTTAACGGTATTTATATCCATGTGTTCGTATTTTAGTCTATTACAACTTTTGTTTAGATTACTCCCGTTAAAAAATAATATATTTTTACTTAAGATCTTTATATTCATACATTTTTTATGAATGCATGTATGAATGTTTTTCTTTATAAAATCGTAAGTAAAAATATACTACATTTTAATGGGAGTAATCTTAACGAAAGTTGTAGTTGTAGTAGACTCAAAAAACCGAACATGTAGACATAAAGATCGTTAAAATATGATATCGTATGAAGAAGTTACGACGTTCAGAACAAAAGACCTAAGCCAAACCACAAGACATACGCAACCAAGCAGTTGAGATCACGATGGACATAAGCATCAACAGCCCCAAACACCCCATCAATGCTTGTCACACGTAAGATGTTGTGAGAAAACCTAAAGAAGTCATTTATAAGTATTGAATGAGTACAAAAACAAAAATGACTTATTTTGAAACAAAAAAATATTAAGGACTAAATGTGTACAAAATGATAAATATATTACCATATTAAGTCATTATTTTCGGCTAACTTGGAATAACCGGTCATAATGACTGAATGTGTACAGTTTACAAGTTGAAGGGTAAAATGTAGACGAAAAAAAACTCAGTGACTAAATATGTACAAATTAAAAAATATATTATCATTTTAAGTCATTAACCAAAAAAAAATGCTCTATCAACCTCGAAAAAATAAATTGTGGCCGTCAATCTGATAAATGAGATTACCGTATTTAATTTTTTTTTTTTTTGGATAAACCTCTAGAAGTAATCCCATTTAAATTTCGATGCAAACTAGGATTCAGGAGATTAATTCGCCCTAATTGTCAACGATTCTAAAAGATTTTAACTAAACCATCGATTTTGGCACAGATTCTCCCTATAAAACCAGATTACAGAGAGTTTTGTTCTTGATGTGATGGTCATAATCCGTTGGAGGAGGGTTGAAGTCTGAAACTTTAAGCGGTTCTCATGGATTTTACGGATTCAGCTCCACTTTCCTCTGTCTCAGCCCCTCTTCACTCTGGCTCCACTCCAAAAGAGGTACTCTCCCTCACGAAAATACTCTTCACTTTAATCCGTATCGGGAAATTAGATCAATTTTGTTTTGCGTTCCTACTTTTAATTTGTGTTTCTTGTATTTACGTTTTCATCGCTTTGAATTTGATTGACATAGGTCAACGACAAGAATTTTAGAACACTTTTGAAACTTGTGTTTGGGCAATCAAATACGATTTTGCTGATCCACAAGCAATTTTGAGCCGTCGATAACTTTAAATAACTGCAACTACAGTTGCATCGTAATGTTGTTCTTCATTGACGTTTGTCTTCCTGCTTGCCCAATCTACCATTTTACTCACTGATTTCCTTTGGTTGCTACTTCCTTCTTGTTTGATCTTTATGATTTAATGTAGGGTTTATGATTTAGATGTATTCTGCCCCCAGTGACGAGTTTTGTTAACCATATAACCCACAACAATAGGAACATTCGGATGCCAAAATCTTGTTATTCGTATTCATGAATTCATCAATCTGTTTATTGTTCTTTTTGTTTAGGAGGATCATTATGTAGCATCCATAAGTGATGAACATGAAATAATCTGCTGGGGATGTGGATTGCGCCTCATTCTTTCACCTTATACACCTGTTTTCAAGTGTGGTTGGTGTGGAGCCATAACTAATCACAATGCACATAAACAAAATGATAAGCACTTTTGGTGGAGACGATTGAGAGACCGGTGTTTTGTCATTATCCTTCTGCTATTTATGCTCTTCATTATAGGTAACCTTCATATCCATAACTCATTTCCTTTACAAATATATATATCAATGAGTGAAACTAAACTTTAAAGTTACATACACAGGTAGTGGTGTTTGGGCTATTTATCCTGTCATATTTTCAGTGAGTTATTTCTGTGGTGTATCCCATTTGACAATAACGGGTATCTTGTCTTTAAGCACACTTTCAACTTATGTCCTGGCGGCATTCCGGTCACCTGGTGCACCACCACCTATAGCCTGGGGCAGCTACCCTCTAGTGGGAAGAGGTGGACTTGATCGTTACAACTTTTGTCACTTTTGTTCAAAGCCAAAGTCACCTAATGTTCATCACTGTCGTTCGTGTAGAATGTGTGTATTAGACATGGATCATCATTGCCCATTTGTAGGTGTTCATACTCCATCTACTTTGTAAATAATATTAAATGTTTGATGCGTAACTTTTTTTTTTTTTTTTTTTTTTTACGAATTTGCCCTCATTTACTTATGCAGATTGGAAATTGTGTTGGTGCGGGAAATCACCGAAGCTTCATCCTGTTTCTAATCTCAGCAGTCGTGAGTACTTTCTATGTTTCAATTGTATCTGCTTACGTGGCATTTAAAATCTGGCCACCATTAAGACACATTCCTACAACTGTTTTGACCAAGTCAACCGTTGTCACGATCCTCACAGAATACACCTTCTCTTTTCTCATATCAGTAGAGTATCTACCAATCAGAGGCTTTGTACTCATTTACCTATTTTTTGCAAGTGTGTCTGTGGAAATTGGTTTGGGTGTGCTTTTATGGCAGCAACTAATATACATATATGAAGGGAAGACGTATTTAAGTCAGTTAAGTTCAAATTCAAATGGAAATGATGAAGTTGAGGAAAAAGATTGTCAAAATCTTGTTAGGTTTTTCGGGTGCCCTTACCCTGCAACAAGATGTATGCTTAGTTTTTGGAATTCAAAGAAGAGCCACAAGAAGTGAAATATATACCACATACAAAGGTTGACTTGTTTTTTATGTTGCATACTAGAGATTTATATCATTTTTAGTGTTTTATATATATACATCATTTCATGTTTTATAAGGTTTTATTGATTTAATCCCCACCAATTTCTCATCAATTTATAGTTAGCTGGGTTTCTCATCCACAACTTAAATGGTTTTTAGAAGATAACCCGGTCAATAAAGATGAAAGTTGCATATCATACTTAAAAGGAACAAGTTTTCAGACGATATCTATTGTGGAAACCTATTTTCTAAATCAACGATTAAAAAGCCTATCTTATATTAAGCTTAATAAAATAGAGATCCGAGAAGCTAAAAAATGCAATTGACATGGTACTCTCTTAATTTGAAATACCTAAGTTCCTTAATAAAATGCCCATGTACAAAAACAAAACAGTGAGAAGAAAGAAGGTTGGAGATGATCCTAATTCCTAGTATTTGCTAGTGTTTACGGCCCAAAGTTTATGGCTTGATTCAATATGATCAACCCCACCAAACACTTAGAATTATCTGGATATATGACTTAGTTTCGAATGTTGGAATGTGTCCCCTAATTTCTTGTCTAGAAGGCCAAGTGTAAATAAGACCAGCATTCTTCATTTTCAGCCATTTCACTTTGAGATGAATATAAATACTATTGCATTCATTAAGTGTTTGAAGTCCTTTCTTGTATACTTAGCCTTGATTCTCCCTTAAAAATGCTTACTAAGCTTTTAAACCGGGTTAAAATTAAACTTAGTGGTATTATGGGTGTGTTTGATTTGACTTCTAATCGGTCCAAATGTGGACTAGGTCCAAAAACTTCAATCAACATGTTTGTTATACCATCTAAAACCTTGGACTCTATCCAAACTTGGGACTGGGTCCATTATTTTCATCTAATTCGGTCTACCAGAGAAATGTGAATGATTGGGAACAAACTGAGGAAATTGACAAACAACGAACGCACGCCGCCTCCACAGCTTCTTCCTCCTTCTTCTGTCGTCTTTCTCATGTGTGATTTTCTTTCAATCGTTTTTTATATATTTGTTTGTTTATTCAAGCTAAAGTTATAAGAAATTTCTTTTTTGGGAAATCTAGAAGTGGGTTCAAAGTCTTTCTTTTGAAATCAACGATTCAAACAACCAATGTCTATGCAAACTCGATTCTTCACCTAAGCCAATCGAAGGTTTCTATTTTGCTATTTCCATGAACGAATAACTCATACTTGTTTTAGGAGATATGGAAAAGGAAGTGCATAAAAAGATAGAGTTTGGTTCCAAATGTTATTTTTGTTTCAAAAAGAGCACATATTTTTGGGAAGAAGGCGTATTCAATTAGAGCATAGTTTTGTGGAAAAGGTCATATCCATGATATAAAAATTAAATGGGATACGATGGGTAACCACTCTCTGATTGCATTTTTGGTATTGTTGATCTTTTCTTGCTACCCTCAAAATCATTGGGGATGGGTAGCTAAAAAGTAGTGTAAAAAGTAAGGAAGTGCACCAGCCTTGACCTTATAAAGGGTTCAAGTGTGATCTAATTGCAATTTTAGCAAACTGTTGTTGCAAGAAAAAATATATGCAGACTTTACTGAGAAAGAAACACAACTTGACTTTAATTATGAAGCAATGTCACAATGATAAAGAAAATCATTGTTTAAAGGAGTGGTGCACATGGGATGCCATAAACATGTTGACAGACAATACAGAAAATTAGGAAATCGTGAGAGAGTGGTTGCTTCATCAGCCCGGGTAATCATCTATGCTAAAAACATGTTGTAGAATTTTTTATTGGAATTATAAGAGTCTATGCCTCTATGGTTTGTTAAACTTATGAACTAAAATGTTGTTTATCATTGTATTGTATAAATCTTATGACATTATCTTGATGGGTTGATGTTAACTTATGTTTTTCTTTTCTTTCTTTCTTTTTTTTTTTTTTTTTGCTTTTGAAGATGATGTGATAATTAGAGGAACATGTAATGTAATGTTATGAGTGTGTCACGGGTTCAAGGCATGTTGGAACAGAAAAGTTTATCCAGAGTATAACTTAAGGTCCCTAAAGATGAGCTATCACTTCAATGTTATATTTAAGAGCCATCACTTTTGCCTTGTGTGTGTTAGTTAGTTAGTTTTAGTAACCAATTTTTGAACTAGTTATGGTAATTTGATTGGTTTTTTGTTGTTATATTAAAAATACCATATCCATGATCATAGAATGTGTGTTATTTGTTATGCAAAAAATCTTGAAAGGTAGTATATGTATATGTTTGTTTCTTGAGACAACATAAGGGTAATATGATCATTTTTCATCATTCATAACAGTCAGTCAGAGATAAATTTAAACAACATGGTTTCAATTAGATGTGGACTCAGTCAGAAGTTCTAACTCAATCAACACTAACTCAGTCAACAACTATCAAACAATCCATATGTTGTTCCAATACTATTATCTCGTGTCGGCCTAGCATAGTATTATGCCACACTTAGTTGGTGTATGCTCATTAGTATTTTCTAGGCCACCAATTAAGTTTACATATTCTAGATGTGGTAAAATTGGGATAAATAAATACAAAATAATATATATTGTTAGTGGAATGGTAGTTTGTTGAATTGTCTTTGAGAGTTTGTTACAACAAGTAGTATTCAAAATAGTGGAGGAATAAGGGAGATTCATTCTTAAATTGTTATATGATATTTTACTACGTGGGGACTAGTTTCTCGAACTGTCAGGGTTTTGCATTAATCTTTTCATTGAGAGTTGTTTTTTATTTAATCCAATATGTATTTTATCGTTAATTTTCTATTGTGCAACTAATTCTTAGCAAATTGGTATCAGAAATCACTTTAAGCCAATTTATGAAAAGAGATCATGTCAATTGTAATTGTTGTCCAAAAACAGGAACATTACATGTTGGGAAGGAACTTTATCACACAGATTGATTGAAAATGTTTGAAGTTCTTTTTGGAGCAACATGAACCAGGTAGCAAATACCAAAAAAAAATGCTATGCAACTACATTTATGGTTATCTACTGAGTGTGAAACTAATAAGCTCAAATTATACTTGTATAAAAGCCTAAAACATTCGAAAAAATTACACTATAAAGAAAAGTGAGAAAAAAACATATCATACAAGTAATAAATATGTTTTATACTTCATTCATTTAATAATCAGTTGTGATTCATCTATTTTATGAAAGGACTTCAAACACTTAATGAATGCAATAGTATTTTTATTCATCTCAAAGTGAAATGGCTGAAAATGAAGAATGCTGATGTAACATTCATAAAGTTCAAGCCAATTTAAAACTTTTTCAAGCATTCAAAAACCATAAGTTATTACAAAATGTTTTCAAAATAGTTTCATGTCAGAGTATCCCAGAAATCAAATCATAAAATATGAGGAGGTGCACGATCACGCATTCGCCTTCCCGCGATCATCTGAGGTACCAGAAACAAAATCCAAAATTGTAAGCCCGAAGTTTAGTGAGTTCCCCCAAAATACCAACGCCATACAACATAACCATGTCATAGCAAATAAACAGCATGCATACTGAGCCATCAGCCTGACTGGACCGCCTTGCAGGGCCATCAGCCTATCTGGACCGCTCTCCGAGCCATTGGCACGTCTGGACCGCCTCACGGGCCTTCAGCCTATCCGGACCGCTCGTCGGGCCTCCGGTCTGACTAGTACGCCCTTACCGGGTTTGCAGTCTATCCGGTCTGCCCTAGGTTTGTTGGCCTTCAGCACAAAGCAGGACCGCCTCAACCCATCCCCAATCACACAATCAACACATAATATCAAATGCTAGCATATACAAACAGTCAGACCGATCAAACAGATCACTAATCATATCATCATCTTATATACAAGGATACCGACCTAACAAGTCACTAACATAGCATCATCCTATATACCAGGATACCGACCTAACAGGTCACTAAGCATATCAACATGCAATAAACTCGGATACAAATCCGAAAAGGGTCGGCATTGGTGCCTTCGACCCTGTTAGATCGGTGACTTTTTGATTCAGATCTGGTACTTTTTGTTTCATATTAGGTGACTTTTGTTTCAGAACTATCAGAGAGATGCGGTTCAGGAAGAGCAGAGGCTAATGAAGGTCGTTCAGGAAGAGGAGAGGTGGAGGGTGGAGGTTTCCGACGAAGAGAACGAGTGAAGACAAATCAAAGAGGTGTAAATAGATCCGTAGAAAATGGAGAGACAACATTCCAGTGGTGGTCTGGTCGTTCCTTTGGTTCGATTGCCGATGGCGCTCCGGTGGTCTTGGGTAGGGATGTGCATGGTTCGGTTTGGGTCGGTTTTGGACCCAAACCGGACTCAACCCATAAATGGTCGGTTTTTGGTCGGTTCGGTTTCCTGGGTTCTGGAGTCAGTTTTCCGGTTTCTTGGGTTCAACCCATATACTCACGGGTTCTAGGTTTACCCATGGGTTTTGGGTTTTAACCTATTTTCCAAAAATGAAGCAAGAAGTTAAATACTTCAAAAAACACCACAAAAAATGCAATCATAACCATAGAAAAAAATTATTACAGTTTGTCAACTTTGACTTCGTGTTCCTGATCAATAAAAGGACCTAAATCTATAACAGATTATATCGCATTCTTAGTATTAACTAAACCATAAATCTAAAAGTTAAGGAAAAAATGAAATCAGGCCTGATAAAAATGTTTCCTATCTCTTAGGCTCTTGGCCTTTTACTGATTAATAGAAGGAAAGATTGCTAAACCCAACTGAGAAAGTGAGAAGCGACTCAAGTGAGAACGACTCTTTTCTTTTAGGGTTGTTTTTTTAATGTGTGTGTGTCTGTGTGTGTGTGTGTGTGTGTATATATATATATATATATAGGGCGGTTTCTTGAGTCGGTTTGTCAGTTTCTTGTGTGGGTCGGTTCTCGGTTTGGATGGGTTGGTTTCAGGGTAAAAACCGAAACCGAAACTGATTTTTCGGTTTTTAAAAAATTCAAACCCTAACCGTCGGTTTTGTTTCGGCTTCGGTTCTGGTCGGTTTCTCGGTTTCTTGGTTCGGGTTTGCTCACCCCTAGTCTTGGGGAGCAATTGATGTGTGTGTGTGTGAGTGAGTGAGTGAGTGAGTGAGTGGGGTGAGGTGGGGGAATAAATGGGATGGGTTTTTTACTTGTTTTTTATTTATATTAACATTATTTTGTGTTTTTAATTAAAAAAATGACTCATATTTATTCTTACGTTTTCAGTTATATATAATTTTTTGTACTACAACAATGTCATATGACCAAACATTATATCCACACATCTATTCTATATAATTTTTTGTAATGTAACAATGTCATATGACCGAACATTATATCCATACATTTACCCAACTTTATTCTTGTTTGGTTTATCTCGAAGGTTCAATTGAGCTTGGAAAATTACTTTTCCATAGTTTTTAAAAAAGTATGTGAACTCAAAATTTTGATCAAAAATTCCAAAATATTATTTTCTTAATGTGTAACTTTTCCTATGTAATTATATTTTGTTTTGTAATGATCCAAATATCCTGTTTAAACAATTAAAGACACTTAATGGAGGTATATTTTTAATGGTTTTTTTTCTTTCATAGGCGTCCCAAATATAAAACTGATAAGTTGTGTAAAATTTGGTGACTTTAAATCGTACAAAAAAGAAATACGTGATTAACTTATGTAAAAGATAAGTTAATATAGAAATTTCCGTATTCCATTTTTTATCCAAAATTTCGGATATCCGAAGTAATATCTTAGTCACTATCCAAAATTCTGAATATGGATCCAGTATTATATGTCTAATATCCGCATATCTAGTTTTGAATTCCCCCTAACTATTGGGAGAAAGAGGTATCTTTTTGCAAATTTGGCCAAACTTGAAGGGCTTCTAGTAATTTTGACGAAAGAGATGCACCACATGTTGCTGAGCTACATAAAGCCGGTAGATAAGGTCGCCCAGTGCACCAAAAGATGGGACACTGCATTTCAGGAACCTTAGCATCTCCTCTCTCAACACACACCAAATCACTCAAATTCTCCAGATACACGCTTTCTGCTTCCATTCAAAGAAACCATACCCCACCCCCACTGGTAATTATTCTAATTATTTGTTTGCATGGCTCTTGAACGCAAGTTTCTAAAATTACAAAAATCTATGGAATGAGTAATAATCTAGAGTGTTGTGTTGTTCAGATAGGGAAAAAGGTAGGAAGAAGGCTGATACGAATATCAACAGCAGAAGGGAAATGGCAGGGAAACTGGAATGCTGACTATAGCTTCTCACTTCGAGACCTACGTTTGCAAGATCTAGTTGAAGTTGGTGATCCTAATGATGCACGAGTCTTCGTGTCCCTATCTATTCATAGGGTCTCTCTTCTCTCTCTAGTCTCTACTATACTTATAACGTGACAGTTGTACACTTGTACTGTGTTTTGGCATGCACTGAATTACGTCATCGATTGAATAAGATATGTTTGATCAGCATGCAGGGTTTGGACTTTCAGTCGATGGGACAATTGACACATCATTTACCAGAAAGTGTAGCAACTGCTCTTCTCCTTATTGCAGAAAGGTACTTTTGTGTGTCATGGTAGAAAAGGCACATAAAATGTGCTTCTGTTATTATTGTTCTAAAGTGATCTAAAATTTATTGTCAGATTACTTCCAGCTTCAATGTGTGGGTTCTATCATCCAACAAAGATGGTGACTCGAATCAACTACCTGAAATTGGCGGCGATGATCCATCAGTATCTCCCTCCCTCTCTCTGTCTATATATATAATTTATAAATAAATGTATATATCTATATGTTTGTGTTTTTGCATACATAAGATGTATGTGTACGCATTTATAGATATCTCTCTCTTAACATATACACAGAAAGGAGGACTGAAGACATTGATGTCTTGCAGGTGATCTATGTGAAGCCTGGATGTGAAGCAGATCTTGACACGTTAATACAAGACAATATTAGGCTCACTACTTCTGTGAATGTACTATACTACTCTACTTGTCCTCCAAAACAATCTACACTTGACCTTTTTGTGTCAAATATAATATCTTACTTCTTAATTTCAAACTCAACAATTATACAATTTGTGCCATGTGTTTGCAGGAAACATGTTCAGATTTTTGTGAGAAATCAGAACTCGGATTAATTAGTAAGTACTAAGCAGTGAAATTTTGAATAAGTGATTGCCACAACCATACACCAAAAAAAGAAAGAAACAGTGCAATGTACATTATGTTGGTAGATCAAACCTCTTATTTCCAGATCTTTACTTCTATTTGCAGATCTTAACAAGGCAAAGACTACAACTGTTGATAAGAGGTGGTCCAAATTATTAGAGCTAAAAAAATTGTATCAATAAAAACATTATATGGTTAGTTATTTATTCATCATATTCAAATATGTTATGTTCATTAAACAGATATTCAGATACACAAATGAAACACGATTTATCTAACCATCCAGTTCTGTATCAGATCTATATGAAGCCCAGAAAATCTTTTCGAGCACTCCTGCAAACAGAAGAAGAAAAAGAAAAAAATTTGTAGCTCCAAATTTTAGGCTGCAATGTTGCCATTTGTATATATCTTCTTTCATCTTGTTTTCTATATCTGTATGATGTATACACAAAAATATTCTATACATAATAAATACTTATATATATATATATATATATATATATATATATATATATATATATATATCTGCTAATCATCTACCTTTCTTTATCTCCAAAGAATCAACTATACAAGACAAAATGACACATAAGTTTCCAACTACCATTAGAAAATGAACAGCGGAAAGAAGTGTGACAAGTAATATCCAGCATTTCAAATTGCTATCTAATTGTAATTATGAAAATCAATGTTCATGAAGACAAAACAACATTTATGTGTTGACCATCTTAGAAGCAAAAAAAGATTAATGGGGATAACTTAATCCTATGTACAGCTCATCTAATGTTAACCATGAAAAGGATATCATGTCATTGGCCAAACAAACTTATGGTCTGTACCACTAACTATATTCCATGATCCATCAGCAATCTCATCAAAAAGTTGGGTCCACCCCCATGATGAATACCCCACAAAAAACCAGTAGTCGGTCATGGAGCGATTGTGTAACTTGAGATTTTGTATTAAATTGATTGTGGCCCATTGGTCAAGGAAGTAGATGTCTGGTAGAACTTCAGGGTGTTCATCATTTCCGGAAGATTCTCGAGTTAAGGAAACAAGTGGGAGTTCACGTGCTATGACAGGACCACCGTAAGATAGTGGTGCCTCTTTCAGGGAATCCAACCCTTCCTCGAGTTGTGTGATGGTGTCCCAACTGATATGTTTGTTGATGATCAGACCTTGAAATCCGGTAGTTGTGTTGACTTTCACAATGAGGATTTTGGATTTGGCAAATGGATATATACTCTGAAGCTTTTGGGTTGCAACAAGTATGGAACCAGGTAGTATTTCTTGTACAGATTTAGCGGGGTCGTATGGTGTGTGAGGTACGATGTTGTTTTTGGTGTCTGACTTGTGTGTATAGGAATAGGACCTGTCTTTTAGTAGAATCTCATTGCTTTCCTTTGAGAGTGAAATGTCCTCATATGTTGTTACAGGTTCTGATGGATCCTTAAATGGTTTCTCATTCCATGCTCCCTGTTCAGCTTCAGTCCATAATATACCTAAATCATAGAAAGTACAATGAATCATCTGCTTGAATGGAAGATTGAATATCAAAATAGTGAAGTATTGAAAATGTTTTGCATCTAACATGATCTCACTATGGCCCCTATGATAGAATTTCAGGTGAGAATAAGAGCTACAGAACATAAGAACATAAAAAAGTTTGACCAATAATTACCTCGCTCCTTGTAAATCCAATGAGAATCACCACCTTGATCAGCAATAAACTTGATGACATTAAATACTGAGGTTTCCCCATCATAAGAGATTGCTTCCTTCCTTTCTGCTGGATATAACAGCAGAGATGGGTAAAGATCCCTCTGCATATCCAGACCACATCAATATGCATAAAATTTTGAAATAAATAAAGTTACTGATGAATTCTAATAAGACTCCATTGTTAAAAAAAGGTTCTACTAAGAACTGATACAGATACAAGACATGAAATCTAAGTACAACATAGAAATGAACATTTAATCAACATTACATAGATGTAAACATGATATCCCATGCTTCTAACATGGAACATGATATACACAGACCTAAATTTTGAATTGAATTTACAAATATGTACAATAACCAAAAGCAAGGGATAAACAAGTACCTTAGTTGATGACTGGAGTAGTGAACTACAGTCATTTTCTGTGCAATCCATCATATAGATCACTGGAAGCTTCAATACAGTATTATTTATGTCATCTGCAACACATTTAACCTTCCTTAGCAAAATGATTGCATTGTTCATGTGGCCAAACATTTAGCACTTAAAAACAGAAAGTTATACAAATGAAAATAAAAATGCCAATCTATGACTTACCATTTCTTGATGAGGATTGCTCATTCTTGAATTGACTTTTTACAATATTGCCATAACCCTTGAATGCCTGATATACCTCACGAACCACAAGTTCTGCCCTTAGACAAAACCCACACCAACTACTAGTAAAAAGCACCAATACATCCTTCTTCCAAGCATTGTCATGAGAACCAGAGTGGTTGCCATTGCCAACAACCAACTCCATAAATGTAAGAGCACTGACACGTGGTATAGAATCCACCTCATGAAAATCTTGATTAACAAATGGAGGACGTGGGGCCTCCTTAGAGTCAGAAACAACAGACTTAGACCGTTGATATGGTACAAGACTTCCATTCAGAAACTTGTGGAGAAAGGCAGATAGAGAAGAATAGCTAAAATCAGCCTCTTCAGGGTAGACATAATGTTGATGTGAAAGAGGATCAATAATCACCAATGATGGAATCTTCAAAATGCCTGATAACCCTTCAAGTAACCGAAATTGTCCATCGACAAAGAAAAAAGAAGAGTTAAAACCTGGTAAGTCCACATCTTTAATAGACAGTTCTTCCAGCTTATCATCATCAGATTGAACATCTGTTTCTGACATTGTGATATCAATATCATCAGAGAGTAGCTGGAAGCCTACATCTTTAGCAAGTGAACTTAATTTTGTTTCTTTTTTCTTCTGAAGAACTTGTGCCAAGACTTCTTGCAAGGAACTACCTTGCAAATTTGAAGCAACATCGTCAAAAGTAATATGTTTACCTTCCTTCATGGCCATGATATAGATTTTGTCTTTTAGTGCAGTTACCTTAGATGATGTTGACATCTTTAGCTTAGGATGCTGGGAAACAAATAAAGGTTTATAAGGATTGACAATGTTTTGAGCATTCATTTTAGATGGAGTATGATTGTCCAAAGCGAGTTCTCTAAAAATAGTAAGAGATTCCGTGCTTTTACTTCTGATCTTCAAGGAATGAGATGATCTGTCAATGAAAAGGAGTACTGATGGCCTATCTGAAGGTAAACCAGGATCAAAATCATACTCATCACCTTTGAGCTGCATATTCAATATCAATCAAGAAATCAATACAAGAATGATAACAAACTAAGGATCTGTTTCTTTTTTACTTACCTCCATAACAGGTGATTCATTATTCTGTATAATTCTTTTAAAATCACTCCCTTCTTTGAAAACCTTTGCACAGTTAGGACATCCAGCAGAGTAAAGCATCATCAACCATGAACTGGTATCTCCAACAACACCTAAAGATGAAATTAGTGATCTCTCAGAGACTAGACCAAACTTTAGTCTTTCAGGTGGCAGAAAGAAGTCTCTAACAGAAGTAGTGAAATTGTATAGGGAAGACTCAAACAGCTGGAACTCCTCAAAGCCACAGGAAGCTTCATCACTGGATCTCATTTTCTCAGCCTCCAAGAAATCACTCTCATTCAGAGGAGCAAATTCATCAAGCCCAGGAAGTCCACTAAACTCATCACATGGGATCTTTTCATTTCCCTCCCCCTGTTTCAAAAAAATAATAATAATAATACGTGCATTGTTATTACCAGGACCTGCTATTTTCTTTATGGCCTCATAATTATGTGGAATTAGAAACTACCATCCACCTGATTCTTGATCCCATCAGCTGAACTTGGTGCACTGTTTTCTCCATATAAACCTGCCCTAAGAGGAACACCTGCATGATGAATTTTCCATTAGTGCAATATAATATTGTCCCTAACCAGGAAAAGTCAAATGCAAGTGTTCTTTCTGGATTTCTTGATTATGTCCAGAAGAAGTCAATGATTATTAGGCCTTATTAAAGGGAAATTTACTGCTGTAAAATCAGCAGTGATATGCTGTTTGGTGATGGCCTATATAAATACTCATCACCTAAATCTATTATTACTTCATAGAGATCGATTAAACTGTTAAATATGTGTATGTATGTATCTATGGTATAGCCGTATAGCATTATACTTTGAAAACATGTGTATGTATGTATCTGTTATTGGTTAATACCTAATAGAGTAATCTAACTTATCATGACATTGTACTTTGAAATTCTAAACTTGTTTAATTTTGTTCCTATTCAGGCATTGTACTTTGTATTAGGACATTATATTTTACATTGGGACATTGTAGTTTATATTAGGACAATAGGACCTTCTACTTTTTATTAAGACCTTGTACTTAAAAATCTAACCTATTAAGACACTAGTATACTTTGCAAATCTAAACTTCTTTGATTTTGGTTACCAATTATAGCATTATACTTTTGGTTTTGTTCTTACTAAGGCATTGTACTTGGTACTGTTCTTTGTATTAAGACATTGTACTTTGACAATCTAACATATTAAAACCTCGTACTACAGTACTATGACATACGTGTCTTGTACTATATATAAATGGAAGATACCAAGATACCATATTAAACATTCAGATAACACACAGATATCAACAGATCAGCAACAAAAATCATTGCTTTGCTCCATAAAACTATTAAAGAGCTACAAAAGAGTACACCAGGGGATAACCTCCACCTCAGCACTTTCCGATCATAAAGTTTATTTTCTTTTAGAAAAGAAGTGAAAAGGTAGGAAGTAATACCAAAAGCATTTTCAGATCTGTTATTCATGACCTTGGCCATCAGTTTGGGTGTCCATCCACAGAACTCCAAAACAAGTAAAGCCTTGTCTGTTGACTTAAGAAAACTTGTTAGGTCCTCTGTGGTTGATAAAGACTTGAGGGGGATTTCTTCAGGCAAAAGTGACATAAGATAATGAGCAGATGATAATATGCTCTGAACCCGATGTGTTCCTCGATATTTGTATGGCAAAGAATGGCGATAAAATATGATATTTATTTCCATTGTAGCACCGAGAGCATCTGCTAGCATCTTATCATGATTTCTATGAACGAGCATTAACTTCAGAGTTGTAAATTCTTCTTTCTTTTTACTGACAATGTGGGCTAATTCCTTCATAAGAGATCGAGACTCGCCAGACCCTGGACATTAAAAGACCTTATCAGTTATCAGATTTGTGATAGCATATAAATTAGGGTAAAAGGATAATGGAGTAACAAATTTCATTGGTTTATGTAGGTTATTATCTTATATTATTGATAAGAAGAGGGGTACATATGCATGTCACTTTCCAATATGGACTATCATGGATGCACAAGTCTAAACACAATGACTTATGTAGACCTATTAGATATCGATTGGTAATAGGAAACAACCTATGGATTTATTTATTAACATTGTTTTCTCCAAGTATTAGCCTATCCATATGGGATTTTTGGTTTGTTGTTGTGCAGTCCTGTATATTTAAAGAAAATAGTTCATGCTATCATATGAGTGGGATTGTTGGCTAAGAAGAGTAGATCATCCCTTGCAAGGGTAAGAAGTTGTGCATCCTCTTCCTCTTTGTTACCTTTCTCCTATATTCTTCTCCTCTACTTCATTACACGTCGCCATTGAAGTGTTGAACATCATATATGATGTACAATAAACATGAAGCACATTCAAGAGTTTATTTGTGCATAATATGATCCAATAAATTGTTTTACATTCTTGAAATACACATGGGTATAGGATTTAGCACTGCATGTCATATTTGAATGCACCTACTCATGTTAAGTTAAGCACTCCCTCTAGTGCTAACTCGCATATGAGCTTAAAGAAGATCTCTTCCACATATAGCAGCATTCTTGATTGCGCTCCAAACTTTCCCACGAAACTTGTGGTCATATATTCTAAATAATGACAGTAAAAACTGATATATGAAAAAGATGATCTAAGCTACAAATATAAGGAGGGGCATTAGGTAGACATGAAATAGATAAAGCAGCCAACAATACAGCACTGACACAGTCATAATGTGTTGCTCCAGTCTCATTTAGTGTTCCTCCCTCTGTTTCCAGCTACAATCTCCTTCCCTCAACCTCAGCACTAAACTAGGCCAAAATTATTCAAACTCTACAAGGCTTAGACTACCAAGTTAAGCCATCCCAATCTCCAAGGATTTTAAATCCTCATTGTATGCTTAAGTTGCCAGCATATCTTTTGTCAACAACAACAGGCAGCTGTCCTGCAACTCCTATGTTGTAAAGTACGTTACCTATTCATACTATAGGTCCTCATATCAAAATGTTCTGCTAGGAGGAGACTTAACTTCCGCATATCAACGTTATGAATCACTGATCCCTCCTTTCACAAGATGACTCATATTAAATGTGCCTGTTTTTAACTTCAAAATCAATGTGGATTCTAACAATCTGATAACTGGTATATCTCATAACTCAATTTCGTTTCGATAATCACTAGGTTTAACGTCGAAAAAAGTAGATGTATTCTTGTTTTTCCTTTGGATCCGACTATCAAACGCATATTTCCCACACAGAAATAGACGTTTCACGCAATCGGAGTACAGAATTTTAAGATGCCAAATTGTGTATGAAATGCAGGTTTTAAATCCAGTGATAAACAATTTCAATAGAGATTTAAAGAGAGAGAATTACATGGCACAGTGACGATGAGGAGGATATGAGGATTTAGACGGATTTGAGATGAGAAGTTGTGTTTCGTAAGAATTTGCCATTGAACTGGTTCCTCTCTGTTGCTGGTGTCGGATTTCGAACGAACCGAGTGAGTTGAAAATGATAAGGAGAGTACGAGGCAGAAAAGAAGCAGTGGAAGTAGCTCCGTTGATGAACAGCTGCGGAGACGCAAATTCAGAGCCGCCGCAGGATTTTTCATTACAAGGCAGAAAGAAAAAAATGTGACTGGAGTACTGCCCGACGAAGACCATCAGAGCGTGAATGCCCGTAAATTCGGTTGAATATGGAATCGGATCCCGTCCTACCAACCCGAACCGAAACAAACTTTACCATTTTGTTTTCAATTTATTTTTTTAAAATGCCTTTATTACACATTAAACTATTAATATTTGTCTAAAATAACTTTAAATATTATATTATTTTTTATAAACTTTTAAAATATCATATTTATCCAAATTATTATTTTATAATGTTTTTAAACATTTTAAATTATTATTTTTAGTCAAATGTTGAGTTTTAAGTCGTACAAACCTTATTGCGATATGTACAATCAGTTTATGCATTAAAAAGTATTGAATCTTATCCGGTCAAACAAATGAATCAGTCAAACTTGAAGCAACATTCCCTCAATTTTAGCCAATTGAATTGGTCAAAACCAATTGAATCGATTTGAGTCAACAAATGAAAAAGTCAAGATAAAAATTAGGAGTCTCATTCAATCGTATGACCAATTCATACCATAATTTAAGGAGTTATAGTTACATCACACTTCATTTAGCTGAAACAAACCCCGATCATGAACAGTAGCGCACCACCACACATTCTCCGGTGAAGAGCCACATCAACTATGTTTCTTTATTTTCTTTCACGTTACACATAAATCCCTTATGCATAATATCATATCTATGACCACATGGTATTACTATCTTTACTGCAAGAATTATATAAGTTACATGGTGATAATACTACTAAACTTTCCAGCAGGTGTTAAAGAGCTTTTACGGTGATGGAAAGTGTATTACACGAGACCATGAATTACCATAAAGAGCTTAGAAATAAGGCATGGTTTTCCATTTGCTAAACATATCTAAGAAATCAAAACCCTTTTATTCTCTACTATCCCCTATTCAAAGTGAGTATTTGCTTCCATTTTTTATTTCATTTTTGTAGAAAATCACTATTTATGCAATTTGTTTTGTTATTTTTTTAATGATATTATAATTACATTATTCATTCCGCATTATGCGATGTTTGTATTCATGTATAGATATCTAGGAACAAGCCAATGGTTAAAGTCTTTTTCAGTAGCAAGATATCAGTACTGTAATTATTTTTTCCTGCATGGATTTTCTTTTTAGTTTAGTTTTTTTTTTCTTTTGGATTTTGTTAAAATGTTTCTTGTAGTTATGTTGCATGTGTCAAACCATGTAACTATTGGATTTTTTTATAATAGGAGAGTCAAAGAAGCTGAACCTGATTTCAATGACAAAGAACTGCTACCAAAGAGCTTCAATGAGAGAAAACGTTAGTTAGGTATGTTAAAGTTCAAATAGAAAAAGAAATGCATTGATACATATGTATTATCAATTTGTATACAAATTATGTTTTTTTTGCAATCTAATTTTATATTAATGGTCTACATAGTTGTAGCGATAGATGACCATCCTAGCTGCTTTAGGTACCCAAGAGCAATGTCATAAGTATATTTCTCACACAAAATAATAAATGAATCTTGGTTGAGGTACTTCACTTTGTGTAAATGCTAATATGTTTCTCCATATATAGCACCATTAGCCAATTTTGAAAAAAAAATTACTTTCTCAACTTTGCTTTGATTTTAGTTGACCAAAATATGATGTTCCTTTTAGTATTAATTGATATTATGCTCATGTATGGATATAGATATGGCTTTGGTTCTGTTTCCTTTTGTTTTTTTCTTATCATGTAACGAGATGTTTTGCATGGACCAAAATTTTGATATAAGATACCAGATAATAAAATAAAAAGAAAATGACATTCTAAAAAAAGTTATCGTCTTATCGGAGATGATCATAAGTTGTTAGCAATTCACCAAAATCTACTTGTAAGTATTTTATGGTAGTATAACGACCATGTATGGAACATTGATCCAAGTAGTTTATGCAAATGAATTTTTTAGAATCCATTCAAATGAATTTTTGCTAATGACAATGGATTACCACTTTTTTATTATCAAGTGAATGCTTATCTCATATTTTATGCTTTACTTACGAGGGTATAATTATACTTATGTTTTGTTTAGATGAAGGTTGATCCTTATGTATAACATGGTCTAATTATGCATAGGTATTATCATTAATGTTTTCTACAACAAGTTGTAATTTTTTTCCCTATAATATATCTATTCACAAGGGCTATTCATCTGTTTGATGCATTACTTATCATATTATTTATAATTTTTTGATGTCCTTATATGCATAGGTTGCTAGGGAAAAAATATTCAGATTAACTATTAAAATAATATTTAATTAATGCAAGTGATGTCCAACCTAGCTGGATTGATGCACCGGTTTGATATCGACGTGGGTTTGAGGTCAGGACATAGGGGTGTCTAAAAAAACCGCAAAACCGAAAAACCGAGCCGATCCGGCCAATCCGAAACCGAAATAAACCGAAACCGAAAAAACCGGGTACATACGGGTCGGTTTCGGTTTTTATATTTAGATATCCGCGGATACCCGAACCGAACCGTCATATATATATATATATATATATATATATATATATATATATATATATATATATATATATATTATAATAATAATAATAATAAAGAATTGTGTATATATAAAATAAAAAAGAATTGTGTTCCAGTTTTAAATTGAAATTTTAAACCAATGCCACAGTGTAGCATAAATCACGTTCATTTGCTTTTTATCAACTCTAACTTACTTATCAAATGTATATTTTATGTGTATGTACTTATTCATAAAATGTATATTTTCTCATATTCATAAAATGTATGTTTTTAGGCGTAAGAGTTAAATTTTTTATTTTTATTTTTGTGAGTTTTTGGTTTTTTATAAAGATATGATTGAAATAAAGATAGTAGTTTCGATTGATTATTATTTTTTATATTTAACGGATACCAGTGAACCGAACCGTGGTTACCCGCCTTTATACGGTTCGGTTTTTTTAGCAAGTCGGTTCGGTTTCGGTAAGTGCATGCAAGGTACCCGCCCCGCTGTCACGGTTCACAATTTTATTAATATCCGATCTGAACCGCCCCGTATCAGGACAAATCTTTGAACTTGTTAAAATTTGCCTCTTGCAATTATTCCCCATGTGTAAGAAGTTTTTCGTGGAAATCCCTTGGGGGATAGGTTGAGTTTGCTCTGTAAAGAAGCTCGAACTCAAGGTCACCACTTATATATTGTGGTGAGGTTGCCGTTAAATAATTAGCCGTTTAAAAAAAACAACTATTATTTAGCAATGTATTTTTATATTTATCTTGAAACAGCCTAAAAAAAACTAATTGCCTCCGGAAAGTATTTGCCGGAATAAACTATTTCACTATTTTTAATCCAAAATATTTTGTGTCTCCTATGGGATCTCTAGAATATGACGTGTATGAAAATAAACAATTCGATGCGAGCAATTATAATAATCGATGCTCGACACTTATTGGTAATTGAAAGTTGCAGTAGATTATCAGTTATTTGGAACCAATTCGTTGTTAGTTATGTGGAAGATGTTTCTGAAATGTATCTCTTTAGAATATGACATATTTCCACAAAAGGAAACTATTCGTCATCCCTCCAAAAAAACTAATACGTGTTACCGATATATTTATTTATCTTCTAGAATCGGTTTTCTTGCATGGTGCGCTTTATGTGGCATTATCGAGAGAATATCATGTGCCAATACAAAAATATTAATGAACCCTGACGCAAAATCCAATGGAAATTAAGTCTATAAATCAAATGTGGTGTATAAAAAAATGTTGCATCATTAGTAATGTACAATAAATCATGTGTTCATGTACATTTGCAAAACTATTCGTGTCTGTCGCTTGGCGCGGGTAACTGCTAGTGTGTGTGTGTGTGTGTATATATATATATATATATATATATATATATATATAGGGGGAGAGAGAGAGATGTAAGTTCAATTGAGAAAATAAAAAATTTTAAGAATTAATGAATTATTCTCAACAAAATATTTATTTTTGCCGCTAAACCCTTCATTGTATCAGCCGAAAGGGAAATGAATACATACGCGTTTTCCAATCAAACATGTTTTCTTAAACTATGTTAAACCTTACCTTAATATATACAAAAACATTGTTTTTTGTTTTTTTTTTTTAAGGAGCTATTTTTATCGAAAAAATATTTTAAATATATCAAAATTCTTAATTTTTTAATATCTATTTATAGACGTCCATATTGATATAGTTTTAAGATAAAAAAATTATTTTTTTATAGTTTCAGCTCTCGTTATATTATTCATAAGTGAATAAAAATTCATCAGATTTTATTACAGAACACTGGTTAATCACTTATGAATAAAAAATATGCTTAATTTTTTTACAGTTTAACTATCATTCATATATGCATAAAACATGTATTAATTTTTTTTACAAGTTATATGCATATATGAATAACACATTTATCAGAATTCTGTTATAGTTCATTTGTTATTTATATATGAATAATAAGTTCGAATTTCCAAAACACTCCGTCTTTTATTAGCATACTACTTATTTATATATAAATAATAAATGAACTGTAAAAAAAATCTGATAAATGATTTATTCATATATGAATATAAAATACACGTTTTATTTATATATGAATATAACATGTGTGTAACAGCCCAATTTTTCAATAAAATTTTTCATTTCAATAACAAAATCATTTTCATAAAATATAGCATTCCAATCACATTTGTTTCCAAAAACCCACGACATCAAATAATTATTCAAAACATCAGAGTGTTCACACTAAAATGTCGGAGAGTACACGTCGCGCCATCATGCCGGGCCCTTGCCCTTAGATCCTAAAGTACCTGAAACAACCAACAAACTGTAAGTTAATGCTTAGTGAGTTCCCCATAACATACCCCGCATAACCACATAATCACATATATACTACATAGGTCATGCATATAACATATAAGGATGTCGTGGACTCCCTCCAGGGTCTTACTCCAGGATGTCGTGGGCTCCCCCCATGGTCTTATACCTATGTGTCATGGG